AGGGGGCTACAGGAAGGCTGGGGAGAGCCTGTTTAGAAAGGCCTGCAGTGACAGGACGAGGGGCAATGGCTTCAAGCTGGAGGGGAACAGATTTAGATTGGAGATGAGGAGAGGGTTCTTCACTGTGAGGGTGGTGGAGCACTGGAACAGGTTGCCCAGGGAGGTGGTTGAGGCCCCTTCCCTGGAGATATTCAAGGAGAGGCTCGACGAGGCCCTGGGCAACCTGGTCTAGTTGGGGGTGTCCCTACTGATTGCAGGGGGGTCGGACTAGATGGCCTTCGGAGGTCCCTTCCAGCCTGGGCAATTCTATGATTCTATGAACTTCCCAGGCCATGCCTACTCCATACCCAGCCCATGTTGACCTGTCCTGTGGCACAGCCTCCTAACGTACTGACCTTTGCAAGGGCAGGCAAATGAGGGCACCAGCACTGTACCCACATTCAGTTTTCTATTTCCACAATTCCACAATATTTCCAAGTTCAGCATCCCCTTCTAGGACACGCTCTCCACTGCCTGCTCCTCCACATCACTTCTACTGGCAGTTTGGTCTTCCTGAGCTCTAAGCAACTTGCTGGACAAGGTCTAATCGAAGCCTTGTTTGGAGGCAGCAATACTTCCCTCTCTGCTAAATACATCTCTTAGGATTGCACTAGGAACATCCGCCTGTGCCTACAGTCATCCTGCAATTAGTTACTACCCCACTTCCTCTTCCTCTGGTAACTCACATAGATGAGGGTCTAGCAAATGGGAGAAGTTTTATTAATAGATCCAAACGCACTACCTGCCTTGTGGTATCTCACACTGCTTCTTCTAACAGCCCTCAAGGTTGCTCCATCCTTCCTGTGTGACATTCAGATCCGCTTCCACGTTGGCAATGTTCTCAACTGTCTCATCTGCAGAAGTGATCCCTACACTCCTCCGTGAGTGCTCAGCTCATTAAGAAAGATATTAATGAAGATAGGTTGCAAAAATCTATCCCTGAGCAGTGCTGTTCACTTCTGAACACATCCTGTTGACAATTTTTCATCCTTTCTCCCACCCACTTGAAATTCCTGTGGTAATGCTCAGGCTTGCTCACTTCATCGGAAAGAAAAAGTCACTTGTCAACAAAGGTGATAACTTACTTTGGTTTCATCTATTTAGGCTCGCAATGTCACTTAGGGGTTCAGCTGAGCTGATCACATGAGCTCAAAACATTGTCATATCTTACCTTGATGAAAATTAGTCCTTCCAAGGAGTCCTGCCAGTAGGTCAGAGGAGCTAGATACGAGGGGCTAGGTCTCAAACAGGACAGCTGTCCGTGGCTTAGACTGCAGTTGGGTGGAAGCAACTCTGCATACATGGATATAGAGGAGTCAGCGATGCTCCTAAATTTGAGGAAGAAAATTCTACGTTAATGAGCTCCTTACTTTTTAAAGATGAACATGCAGCTGGGTCTATAAATGGAAAGGAAATTAATGGGTCCCATTGCTTTGGCACAAATGCCCAATGACGCATTCTTGTGCGAAGAACATCTCTGGCAGAGTCAATGTCATCCAGTCCAAATTAGAACAGGTCCAAAACTCAGCTAAAAATCTGAAGTGAAAACTAAATCAAAGCTGGCTCAGGATAGTGAATTCAGTGATGAGCAATAACGTGGTTTCAGGAAAACTAGACCTGACTTGTGAGGACAGGAGCGTGATGTGTTTCAGGGAGCAAAGCAGAATCTTGACCACTTGCAAGTCAACAGCACCACTGATTTCTACAGAAACAGAATCCTCCACCCCAAACTCCCCAAAACTGAAATAGTGACATCTAACAGAGGCGTATTTGACCACAGGTACATAGAGTAAAGCCCACAGGCAGCTACGCAGTGCAAAACAAGGCTAAGCAAGGTGTTCAGTTTGAGAGTTCACACCATCCACCTATCAACAGCATCCAGCTGCTAGACCTGCAGGCTGGGTGAAAGCCCTCTGACCGTGTGAGCACATGGGGTCACAGAATCATAGAATCGTCTAGGTTGGAAGGGACCTTAAAGATCATCTAGTCCAACCATCAACCTAACTCTGACAAAAAATAAGTAAGAAATAAGCAATAAAAAAAATCACTAAACCATATTCTTGAGGACCATGTCAACCCGTCTTTTGAACACCTCCAGGGATGGTGCCTCAACCACTTCCCTGGGCAGCCCATTCCAAGGCTTAATAACCCTTTCAGTGTAAATATTGTTCCTAGTCTCCAACCTGAACCTCCCCTGGTGCAACTTGAGGTCGTTTCCTCTTGTCCCATCGCCTGTTCCTTGGAAGAAGAGACCGACCCCCCCTGGCTACACCCTCCTTTCAGGGAGCTGGAGAGAGCGAGAAGGTCTCCCCTCAGCCTCCTTTTCTCCAGGCTGAACACCCCCAGCTCCCTCAGCCTCTCCTCACAAGACTTGTGCTCCAGACCCCTCACCAGCTCCATTGCCCTTCTCTGGACCCACTCCAGCACCTCAATATCTTTTTTGTGGTAAGGGGCCCAAAACTGGACACAGTACTCGAGGCGAGGCCTCACCACTGCCCAGTACAGGGGGAAGATCACCTCTCGGGTCCTACTCACCACACTGTTCCTGATACAGGCCAAGATACCATTGGCCTTCTTGGCCACCTGGGCACACTGCTAGGGATGTCTCACACTGCTACAGATGGTCTCTGCAGACATCCCTTTGGAAGCGGGGAGGGAGAGAAGCACGACTGGACATGGCAGGGCATTGAAGTTTCACACAAGAGAAAGCAAATGCAAGACCTCTGCATTCTTGCTAAGCGATCATTTCCCAGGAATGTTCACAGGAAATGGATGCTGTAACACCACTGTCACCCCAACAGCACCTGTGCATCTCAAAAGGGTCACTGCTGGGTCCTTCCTCAGGCATCACTTACTGCTCTTTGCTCATCACTCACAGCTCTCAGCAGGAGCTCCCGCTGGATGGAGAGACGCTAACTCAGCGTATTGGAGGCAAAAAAAAAGGCGTTGACCCTTTAAAAAAATGAATGCACCACTTTGCACAAGCTTTCTGGGACATACGTGGTTCCTGTGCTCTACGTAAGGCAATGCAGATGAAGGAACTCGAGCACTTTCTGCCTCGCACATCCCACCAACACGCACACCCTACTGCTGTGATTCAGTTACACTCAGTAACCTGTGAAGGTGCAGTAACTTGGGTGGCTTCCAAGCGCCGTGCCTCAATGTCAGATAATTTCTGGAGACAGGCAAGGAGTTGCCCTAAGGCAAACTTTGGTGCATTAAGTGTCTGGTGAAGCCACAAGAGAGTCAGAAGCCAAATCAATTAGAAGTCAAGGGTTGACGTCCTTATTAGCTTTTAAGGAAGTTCCACCAACCTGCATGAGGGAAAGACTGTGTCTTCTCAGGAAGCAATACAGAAGAGTCAGGATGGAGGACAGAACTCCAAAAGTCCAAAGCAACTTCCTCTGTCTTGTACAAGGGTTTCAAAGATGAACGGAGATCATCCAAGCACTAAAGCAATGCCCAAACCAGGAGGTTTTCCTCTATCCCTGGGTGCATTTTGTACTGGTAGTAGTAAAACCCAGGAGGGTAGTTCCAGTGGTGCGTTGCCAGCCTTGGCAGCTTTTCCTTGGGGCTTGATCCAAAGATGCCATTTGAGTTCAAGACACAGAGACTGCAGAGGTTACACTTTACAAAGCAGCCGTCTGGACTGGCATGACTTTTTTTAAGCCTTGAAACACACACTCCCACCTTGATCCCTTCCAGCACACAACTCCAGCATGGAAGGAAATCTACAGGCTTGGTGGCTGCCAAAGACACTATTGGCCCCTACTCACTAGGGATCCAATGACACTATTCACACGTGTGCTCTCGTAGCACATGTATGAAGTCAGGGAAGACACGGCAGCAAGCCTGGCAGCTCCAAACCATGCCTGCTGGGGAGAACAATGAGGAGTGGCCATGCTCTAGGAGCACCCTCTTCACCAAGCACCAAGTTGTAGCACTTGGAAGTGGTGAGGGTTGCAGCAGGTTTGCTGCCAGCACTTTCCTGCGTTCCCACTTGACTCTACAGCTTCAGGAGGTTGGATGGGTTCTCCTGCCATGATGGGAGTGCTAAACAAGAGGTTTGCCATTTCTCATCCCAAGCACAACACGGTGAAGACTGAGTGAGTCCCTCACCCAAGCTAGGGTCAGTCTGCAAGCAGAGACCTGGGGATGGTGGGACCCAGTCCCTGCAAGTCTATGGTAAAGGGACAGGTGACAGTGGAGAGGACGTAGCCACTGTGCTCCAAGTTTTCACATGGCAGCCCTGCACTCACTCTGAGCCTGTTGGGAAGCTCCAAAGTTGTGTTTGCTCATCTGGAGATCTCCTTTGGTCGTGGCTTAGGCTTACACAAAACCACAGCTTGGGCTTGCAGGAGACTGAGGCACGGTGGATACCAGAGATATCTCCAAGTTAAGCCTGAGCTGGTCCCTTTGGGAGGACAGTGGGACACCCACGCCAACCTACAGCAGCAGGGAGGAACCTGTGGCAGGTGGCTGTGACCTCCTCCTCACCTACCAGCACCCACCGCAAACCCACAGCATCTCACCAAGAGGCTCTGACCTTCCAGGGATGTGTGGGGTTTTTTTTCCCATTTCCAGAAAAGCCAGTTGCTATGGCAACGGAACGTTTCACGTTTTTAAATGCTTCCTCAAGGACACCCATTAAAGAGTAGGATCATCAGGAGAACGGAGGGATGTGACGCAGCGTGGTGGCCCTGGAGCACCACAAGCAGCTTTGGAGCAAGCCCAGGTGTGCATCCATTCAATGAATGGACATGTTGGAGTACAAGTGCCTCCTCTTCATGCTTCCTCTGGAGTACAAGTGCCTCCTTCTTCATGCTTCCTCTGCAGAGATGGCTGCTTGCAAGTGCACTGCGGCAGAGAAGATCCAGAGAGGAAAATCTCTGTTCCTGGCAGCTTGTCACAGTCAGGGGAAAAAAACAGCCACACAGGCTCACAAAAAAAAACAAAAAACAACAACCCAAACCCTTTTCTCCAGAAGGTACTAAAATTGAATCCTCTGTTCTCATTTAAATGGACAAGGACATTCAGGCAGACTTTGCCAAGTTTCCTTCCCAAAAGAGACTTACAGAAAGTCCTCCGAGGGATAATTAACTGGCTAACAGACAGGAAACGAGGATAAAAATAAGTGGAATATTTCCGCCATGGAAGAAGACTATCTATGAGATCTACCCTTGTGATTGCACAGCCCATTGCAGAGTTACTCACGAGAAAGCCACTCAGATATATGTTTGGATGCCCAGTCACCACCAGAGAAGGGAGAGCTCCAAAGTCCAGCATGTCATCTGCTGGGAACAGGCTCATCTGAGCTGCTGCTTGGATGGTGACCAGCTCCCTGTCCCCACCTTGGCCTCAGTTTCCATGTCCTACCTGCTGGACGAGAGCAGCACACACACAACAGCAGGGGGAAACCTCCCAATTATAGGGGAACAAAGTCACCCAGGGGACCCCTGAAATGGTCTGGGAGGGGGTTTCCAGGAGCAGACCCTGCAATCTAGGGTCTACCTTCTACTTTCTGTCCTGCTACCCAGCAGGAGAGAAAATCACAGAAACACAGAATCTTCTAGGTTGGAAGGGACCTTAAAGATCATCTTGTCCAACCATCAACCTAATTTCGGCAAAAATAGACAAACACACAAAAAACAAAAAGCACCACCATCACTAAACCATATCTCCCAGCACTACATCAACATATAGCTCAGAAGAATACTGCACTTAAGCTCCTCTTCCCTTGCAAGGAAGGACTCCCTTAGGTGTTGCTTGGATGGTGACTGCAGTCCCTTTGGGACCATCACCCCAGAACCTGACACTGCTTTTACATGCGGAGTTCATGGGGATGACAACCAAGCTGAGAGCCTCCCTGCTGCCCCCATAACCAAGACTTGACTCTGGAGAGAAGCACTCACCTCCACTGCGTGCCACCAGCCAGCCAGGGTGTGAGGAAGATGAAACAGCCCCTGGCACATGTCAAATTACTGTGCTAAACCCAAAGATTTTAGCGTTCACTAGGGCAGTCTGGCCCCCGAAGCCACCAGACTCCCATCTGGCTTGTCTCAACATCTGTGCTTCACCCTAGACTGAAGTCAAGCCAACACAGGCAGGTTATACACACTTCCAAGAAACTTAAAGATATCTTCCATCATCTGCTCTTTTTTCCACCATATTTCCTGTCCAAGAAGGACAGGGAACTGCTGGAGAGGGTCCAGCAGAGGGCTACAAAGGTGATGAAGGACCTGGGGCATCTCTCTTATGAGGAGAGGTTGAGGGACTTGGGTCTTTTTAGTCTGGAGAGGAGAAGGCTGAGGGGGGATCTGATCAATGCTGATAAATACTTAAAGGGAGGGTGTCAAGAGGATGGGGCTGGTCTTTTTTCAGTGGTGCCCAGGGACAGGACAAGAGGAAATGGGCACAAACTTGAATGGAAGAAGTTCCATTCAAACATGAGGAGGACCTTCTTTGCTGTGAGGATGGCAGAGCCCTGGCAGAGGCTGCCCAGGGAGGTGGTGGAGTCTCCTTCTCTGGAGACATTCAAACCCACCTGGACACGTTCCTGTGGGACCTGCTCTGGGTGGCCCTGCTTTGGCAGGGGGTTGGACTGGATGATCTCCAGAGGTCCCTTCCAACCCCATGTGATTCTGTGATACACCACCAGATGGACAATTTACCAACAGCACCATTTACGCTCGCTGGGGTCTGCCAAGAGTCCTACCAGAGGTGGCCAATCTACAGCAGAGAAGGACATAAACACACAGACATCACAATACCTCCTTCTCCAGCTACCAAACCGCTCACTGCAACTCTCCCACTGCTTTAACCAAACACCATTAGGGACAAAAGAGGAAGAAACATGCCCAATCCCACAAATTGAGATCCAGTTAGACCTCCCCTGAAGTTCAAGTGCTCCCCTATAATTATTACAGCCACTAATGACTCAGTCAGCAGGACAGAAAGCCACCGAGTCCTTTAGCAGGACCACAACAGTCCACATATGCAGGGTACAGTTTCAGAGAGAGTCTCCACACCAGCTCAGCTTGATTTGAGAGCCAGCAAAAGCAGGAAAACATGCCAAAGAAAACCCTGGCCTTGAAGAGACGGGGGCTGCTGAGAAAAGGAGAAGTCACTTCAAGCAACTTCACTTCAAGTCACATTCAACTGACTTTCAAACCCCACCTGGACACGTTCCTGTGGGACCTGCTCTGGGTGGCCCTGCTCTGGCAGGGGGTTGGACTAGATGATCTCCAGAGGTCCCTTCCCACCCCACGTGATTCTGTGAAGTGGTCAGTGGTGTGAAAGAAGCACCCCCAGAAAGCCCAATGTGCTGCCCATCTGCCACAGCAGCTGCAGAGCCCAGGCAGTGGGTTAAAGAGAAGAGCATGTATTTCCAGGAGAAATAACCTACCTTGAAAAGCACATCCAAATGGGGCTGAGCAATGTCCTGTCTGCAGCATGAGCAGGTAGTCACAAGGGAAACCATTCCCTGGCACCCTCCCAGGCTGGGGTAAGCCTGTGAGGAGACAAGGAGACAAGAGCTACAGTCTTCACCTTTCTGCTGGAGGCTGTGTTTCCCCACCTTCCCCTGCTCCAGCTCAATCACAAAGCACACTCCTGCTCACTGGCCTGTGTTGCAAGAGGTGCTCCATCTCAGAGGTGTTCAGAAGGGATGAAACCAGCACTACGAAGATGCTCAGAGGGCTGGAGGCCCTCTCCTGTGAGGACAGGCTGAGAGAGTTGGGGTTGTTCAGCCTGGAGAAGAGAAGGCTCCAGGAAGACCTCATAGCCCCTTCCAGTATCTGTAGAGGGCCTACAGGAAAGCTGGAGAGGGACTTTTTACAAGGTTATGTAGTGATAGGACAAGGGGTAATGGCTTCAAGCTGGAAGATGGGAGATTTAGATTAGATATCAGGAAGAAATTTTTCACTTAGGGTGGTGAGACACTGGTGGTTGCCCAGAGAAGCTGTGGCTGCCCCATCCCTGGAGGGGTTCAAGGCCAGGCTGGATGGGGCTTGGAGCAACCTGGGCTGGTGGGAGGTGTCCCTGCCCAGGGCAGGGGGTTGGAACTGGATGATCTTTAAGGTCCCTTCCAACTCTGATATTCTATGATTATATCAGAGGGAACAGACAGACACAGAGCTACCTGTTTTGGAAACTCCACGTGAGTGTGATGCAAAGTGATGCTGTGGGAGAGCTTGATGTGGAGCTGGTCGCATGGGATTTCACTTAGGGTGGTGAGACACTGGTGGTTGCCCAGAGAAGCTGTGGCTGCCCCATCCCTGGAGGGGTTCAAGGCCAGGCTGGATGGGGCTTGGAGCAACCTGGGCTGGTGGGAGGTGTCCCTGCCCAGGGCAGGGGGTTGGAACTGGATGATCTTTAAGGTCCCTTCCAACTCTGATATTCTATGATTATATCAGAGGGAACAGACAGACACAGAGCTACCTGTTTTGGAAACTCCATGTGAGTGTGATGCAAAGTGATGCTGTGGGAGAGCTGGATGTGGAGCTGGTCACATGGGAAAAAACTGTGAGTGCCAACCCTGCCTTGAGAGCTGCAGCAGTGCAAAGGCACCTGGCAGGAGGACAGTGCCAAGAGAAGAGATGCTGGGAGGTTATGATGTCAGTGATGAAACCCTGGCCATAGAATCATAGAATCATATGGGGTTGGAAGGGACGTCTGGAGATCATCAAGTCCAAAGTCAGTGATGAAACCCTGGCCATAGAATCATATGGGGTTTCAAGTCCAAAGCCCCAATGGAGTGGGTCTACCTAGAGCAGGTTGCACAGAATCTTGTCCAGGCGGTTTTTGAATGTCTCCAGAGAAGGAGACTCCACCACCTCCCTGGGCAGCCTCTGCCAGGGCTCTACCACTCTCACAGTAAAGAAGTTCCTCCTCATGTTGAGGTGGAACTTCTTATACTCAAGTTTGTGCCCATTTCCTCTTGTCCTGTCCCTGGGCACCATTGAGAAATGACCAGCTAGGATGGGTGTGTGGGACTGCTGAACCTACGGCAGGAAAAGCATAGCCTGGACGCTGTGGTCTTCTTGAAGGCACCACAAGCAGCAAGGTGCATTTACAGAGTGAGTTTTGGGGATGAGAAGCTGGAGAAACGGGCATTTGTGTGGCTCCTGTGCACAGCCCAGAGCCTGATCCATGGAGCAGGGTAGGCAGGAGGAACTAAGCAGGGATGATGATGAGACAGCATCATCTCTGTGCCAGAAGAGAAGCAAAGTCTAGAGGGAGAAAAAGATATTAGCAGGGCTTTTATAAGGTAGGTAATTAGTACATTCCTCCATGAGAGGAGGGATCTGTGAGATCCCCAAGCCCACTGAATCATGCCAGCAAAGGGAAAGAGGCTGCAGTGGGAGGTCTCTGGGAGCTGCTGGTGGCCTTCACCACCCCATCAGCAGCAGGCTTTGTGCCCCAGCAAACAAGGCTGTCAGAACTGGCTGCTTCCAGCGCTCACATCAAACAAGATGTTTTTTTACAGGCACCAGGAATGAGGGGTTTTGGAGTGAGAAGGGGGAAGGGGACCGGAGGGAAGCTTTTTATCCATCGCAGCTCGCGTGCAGTGATTGAGATGGTGACGTTTCATTCAACAGCTCCAGCAGCTGTGGCTTGGAGCTGTGATCCTGCCAGCCACGTGCATTCAAGCATTGTGAAATCTCCCCAAAAGACAGGTGGCTTGTTGGAGGGTTGGGTTTTTTTTTTTTTAAGTTGTTCACAAATGTTTGTTTCCTTCTGTCTTCTCGTCTTTCATCGTTTTAAAGCTTCCTTTCTTGACCAGCAGGGTCGGTCACAAACCTTTTTTTTAAAAAAAGACCCTTTTGAAAAGACTCAAGCAGATCTTCTCATGCAACTGCACAATTTCAGAGCTGAGGTTTTAAGTCAAAAACAAACAGGGAGCGAGCTATTGCTACGGACTGTCAGCAACGCTGGGGTTTGGTTCTGGAAGGGGCCTGGTATGGGGGAGAAGAAATCCTCCCTCTGCCAGTGAAATCTCAGTTGCTACAAATAAGCAAATTCCATCATTCAGCCCCCAAAATTCCCAGCCCGCAAGCATGCGTGTTACTTGCTGCCCTGCTGAGAAGCTCCTCATCTTCCCTCCTCCCACCCACCAGCTGTCTCCTCTCTGCTATATCTCCCATCCTTTCCTCTCAGCCCGCTGCAGAGGAGGATGCCCTTCCTCCCAAAGAGCTTTCCCCAAACACTCTCCTCCTCTCTCTCTGCTCAGAAATGGTCTCTCAGGATCAATCGCTGACGAAAGCCGCTGTTTCCCCAACAACCTCCTGCTCTCCAGGCTCTTATTTTCACTCAGTCCCTCAGCAAAGCTGCCTTTTGCTCCCCGTAGGCAAAGAAAAATGTACCTGAGAAGGTTTCTCCCCAGCATTGGTAGCCCCATGCCAACAGGGTTAGTGGAGACGCAAGGGTTAAGACGGGCTAATTAGTGGGAACGCTGGGGACAAAAGCAATAGATTCATTAAATGAAGCAGAAAATCCTACTCTTTTCTTTCCCGCTCTGGCTGGAAAATAGTTGCCTGCTCTCCTCCCAGCTTGTATCAAAAACCTTGCAGGAAATAAAGCTGTTTAAATATTTTTTTTCTCTAGTTGCAATAGTTTCTAACGAGTCAAAAGCCTTTTTGGCCACCAGCAGCCACTTCTTCCCCTCCTCCACATCTGGCACGACAGGGTTGAATTCACTGCAGCCACTTCTTCCCCTCCTCCACATCTGGTGTGACCGGGTTTCACCCCCTATCCCTGATAAAGTTTTTTCTCCCTCTTCTCTGATCCACCTCAGGTTCTCCACCATTAGAAATGCCTTGCCCTTTTTGCCACCAGCCTCCTCCCAGATGCAGTTGGGGCAGAGAAAAAAATAATATCCCTGGATATTATGGATAATATCCATTCCCTGAGGCTCATTCTCCCAGGCATCTCTGAAATTACTTTGCCAACTGCTGTGACCCCCCCACAGGTCCTGAAATTTCTCCAGTACTTGTAGGAGAAGAGTTGCAAAGTTCATTCTGAAGGAAAAGCAGTGGGGATGGCTCACTCCCCGTGTGCTGCTTCTTCTGCAGAAGCAGCCATATGGCAGTGCTTAACCGCACTTACTGTGCTGGAATTACTTGCCCTTCTGGCTTTCTTCTCCAAGAACTGCCCAACTGTGCAATTGCCATCAAGCTGCCACCTGCCAAGGGCTGCCCCATGCCCTGGGCTCCAACCATCTGCAGGTAGTTCCATTCCCTGAGTGGCTGCAGCCCCTGCCTTCCTCATCTCACCTCGGGTTTTACTGACCTTACCCCCATGCGTGTCAACCCCATCAATATTTAGGCTTGTCTGGTGTCCCTGAGGATCCTAGATCCAGAGCCAAACTGTGCTCTGGGCAACCCTGCTTTGGCAGGGGAGTTGGACTGGATGGGCTCTAGAAGGTCCCTTCCAACTCTGTGATTCCACAGGGCCACAAGGTAGGTGGGCATGTTGCTGCTGGTATCCCCTAGCCCTGTAAGCTGTTCTGTAAAGCAGCATTCTGGGCCAGGTCCTTCTCAGCCCCATCACCCTTAATGGCACTTTTGTTGTGTACCATTTGGGACAGGAGACTCGGGAATGATTTTTCCCCTATGTCTGTAGCATCTACTCTCTCCAAACCGAGTGAAGTCACAGGTAGAAAAAGCCAAAACAAAAAGCCAACAAACCTGACCATGAGTTTGAAGGAAAGGGCTGCCCCATGCCCTGGGCTCCAACCATCTGCAGGTAGTTCCATTCCCTGAGTGGCTGCAGCCCCTGCCTTCCTCATCTCACCTCGGGTTTTACTGACCTTACCCCCATGCGTGTCAACCCCATCAATATTTAGGCTTGTCTGGTGTCCCTGAGGATCCTAGATCCAGAGCCAAACAAATCTGGTCACAGCAACACACAAAAGCTCTTAAAACCCCCTTTGCTTGGGAAGCTTAGGAATATTTGAAAGGGCTTTTCAACCTTGGATTTAGGTTGGCCTAACTTTGTGTGTCTCAGCAAGTTCACTGATGTTACCAAACTGGAAGGACTGGCCAACACTCCAGATGTGCCACCATCCATCATGACCTGGACAGGCTTCAGTGGTTCCCAGTGACAGGACGAGGGGCAACGGGCACAAGCTGGACCATGGGAAGTTCCACTCCAATGTGAAGAACTTCTTTGGGGTGAGGGTGGCAGAGCCCTGGCAGAGGCTGCCCAGGGAGGGTGTGGAGGCCCCTTCTCTGGAGATCTTCAAGCCCCGCCTGGATGCTCCTGAGTGATGTGCTCTGGGCAACCCTGCTTTGGCAGGGGAGTTGGACTGGATGGGCTCTAGAAGGTCCCTTCCAACTCTGTGATTCCACAGGGCCACAAGGTAGGTGGGCATGTTGCTGCTGGTATCCCCTAGCCCTGTAAGCTGTTCTGTAAAGCAGCATTCTGGGCCAGGTCCTTCTCAGCCCCATCACCCTTAATGGCACTTTTGTTGTGTACCATTTGGGACAGGAGACTCGGGAATGATTTTTCCCCTATGTCTGTAGCATCTACTCTCTCCAAACCGAGTGAAGTCACAGGTAGAAAAAGCCAAAACAAAAAGCCAACAAACCTGACCATGAGTTTGAAGGAACATCGATGTCTCTTGCTTCCACATCACATGGTGTCACATGCAATGCCCACGTTCTCTTTCCTACGGGAAGAAATAATGACTTGAGAAAAATGCCCCTCTGTGGAGCCAAAAGCACTCCTTTGACCACGAGTTTTTGCTACATGTGAGGTTTTGATGCTCAGGGCTCATCCTGTGTGCCAGGACCCTGGCAGAGCCCCCCACCGAGTGCTCCCCATCCCCTCCTAGTGTGACAGTGACGATCCCACGTAGCCCCACCAGCCCAATTAGTAACATGGTGCCTTGTTGTGGGCTGAAAGCCACACTTGTCTGTTCCAGAAGGACATCAAAATGACCACAGGGTTCCTGGCAGCCCTGGTTAGCAGCTGGTCAGCAAGGAGGAGCTCTTCTCATTTAGGTCACTCCTTGAAGCCAGGTATGTTGGAAGGAGAGCGGGTGGAGGACCAGCTTGGGCACCTCTCCCTCTTCCTGCCCCTCCAGCAGAGCCACGTGAAGAACAGCGAGATCCACCAGAGTGATGTTCGTAGACCTCAGCAGCTGGAAACCACAAGAAAGGAGAGCCTGATTTGTTCTGAAATTAAATGCGAAACCAGAAAACATGGTGAGGGAAGCCCAGCTGGTGTTCAGTCACAACAGCAGGTATCTGCCTTGTGATCTTATCCATAACAACATTAACGATAAAATCCAGGTCTCTGCTTTCGTATCAAAGACAAGAAAGCTGGGAGGCTGTTCAGCATGCCAACCTAAGCAGGGAACAAGATCTGGGACCTTTCTGCTGTGCTAGGTGGGCTAGCAGGGGAAAGCTATATCCAAAAATACAGATTTTACAAGGGTGAGTTAAACTAAGGTTTATATTAAAAGGTTTTATATTAAACTAAGGTTTAATATTAAAAACATAAATAAATGCTTGGTATCAAACTCAATATAGTTGGAAGGTGAGGCTCACTTCAGAATCACAGAATCATCATGGTTGGAAGGGACCTTTGAGATCATCAGGTCCAACCACACACAAAAAAAACCAAACACCAAAAAACCCCCCCAAAACCACCCCATAAAGTCCAACCATACACACACCAAAAAAAAACCCCCATCAACCCCCCCCCCCCAAAACCATCCTGCACAAACCAACAATCTCGGGCACTAGAGCATGCCCTGAAGTGCCACCTCTACACGTTTCTCAAATACCTCCAGGGATGGTGACTCCACCACCTCCCTGGGCAGGCTGTTCCAGGGCCTGACCACCCTCTCAGGAAAGTCATTCTTCCTGATATCTCATCTAAACCTCCCCTGCCCCAACTTCAGACCATTTCCTCTGCTCCTGGCATTATTCCCTTGGGAGAAGAGGCCAACCTCCACCTCTCTCCAACCTCCTCTCAGAGAGTTGTAGAGGGCAATGAGGTCTCCCCTCAGCCTCCTCTTCTCCAAACTCAACATGCCTCAGTCCTGGGAAAGAAGATTCATGGTGGGTTAATCAGCTTAACCAGATCTCTTCACAAGTTAATTCAGGTTTACTCTCCTAGGGTACCTGGTCACTGATTACTACCTGGTGGACTGCAACAAGCCTGGTGAGATCAGGGTTGCTTGGCTTTGATGAACAGCCATGTCAGGGCATCAATGTCTGCTGCCTCCCCTCTGCTTTGGGGCTGAGCACCGAGAGAAGAGCAAGAGGAGCTGCTGCCCGTGTTGATGACACAGACAGAGAGGAGAGAGGAGCACAGCAGCCTGAATGCCAGCTGGGCTGTTCACAAGTTGCCACCAGTGGCACTCACCTTGCAAAATACTCCAGTTGCAAGCTCACATGGGCTTAGTGGGAGAGAAGGGTGAGATCTTGTGTTGGCTTCAATCGATGCAGCCCCATGCAGGCAGAAATCTGCACCAGGCAGCTCCAGCACAACAAACTCCTTTTTTTTTTTTTTCTCTTGGGCTTCATTTTTTCTTAGGCAATGGTCTCCCCGGACAGCAGGAAACCTCAACTCCTGACAGCAGGCAGCAGACCCCCAAAATACGATCTGAACCATATTTTGCCCATCCAAGGACAAGAAAAGCCCTCAGCAGAAGTGCCTTTTCCCTCTGGTTCCTGCTAACCCCTACATAGAGGGAACATTCCAGACTCACACCAGGATGCTCCAGAGGAGGAACAACCAGGTTGGAAACCTGACAGCTAGCTGAGTGCATTGGCTTCTCTTGGATCTCTTCCCTCGTGGAGTTTGATTATCAGGGCTAATAATTCCTGCCCCAGGCTTGCAGAGAGGGGGGACATGGTTGGACCACCCGAAGGGAAAGGAGGAGCCACAGCCTTCCAAAGAATCATAGAATTTCCCAGGCCGGAAGGGACCTCCAAAGGCCATCTAGTCCCACCCCCCCGCAGTCAGCAGGGACACCCCCAACTAGACCAGGTTGCTTCATTGAGCCTCACCTTGAACATCTCCAGGGATGGGGCCTCAACCACCTCCCTGGGCAACCTGTTCCAGTGCTCCACCACCCTCACAGTGAAGAACCCTCTCCTCATCTCCAGTCTAAATCTGTTCCCCTCCAGCTTGAAGCCATTGCCCCTCGTCCTGTCACTGCAGGCCTTTCTAAACAGGTTCTCCCCAGCCTTCCTGTAGCCCCTTCAGGTACTGGAAGGCTGCTATTAGGTCTCCCCGGAGCCTCCTCTTCTCCAGGCTGAACAACCCCAGCTCCCTCAGCCTGTCCTCGTAGCAGAGGTGCTCCATCCCCCTGATCATCCTTGTGGCCCTCCTCTGGACCCTCTCCATCAGGTCCATGTCCTTCTTATATTGAGGGCTCCAGACCTGCACACAATACTCCAGGTGAGGTCTCACCAGAGCAGAGTAAAGTGGCAGAATCCCCTCTCTGGACCTGCTGGCAACGCTTCTTTTGATGCAGCCCAGGATGGGATTGGCCTTCTGGGCTGCAGCTGCCCACTGCCTGCTCATGTCCAGCTTCTCATCCACCAGCACCCCCAAGTCCCTTTCCTCAGGGCTGCTTTCCAATCCCTCACCCCCCAGTCTGTACTGATGGTGAGGATTGTTCCGTCCCAGGTGCAGAACCTTGCATTTGCTCTTGTTGAACCTCATGAGGTTCACCTGGGCCCACCTCTCCAGCCTGTCCAGGTCCTTCTGGATGACATCCCGTCCTTCTGGTGTATCGACAACACCACACAGCTTGGTATCGTCCACAAACTTGCTGATGGTGCCTTTGATCTCCCTGTCTATGTCATTGATAAAAATGTTAAACAGCACCGGCCCCAGCACGGACCCTTGAGGAACACCACTTGTGACTGGTTTCCATCTGGACTTTGAGCCATTGAGTACCACCCTCTGGATGCGACCATCCAGCCAGTTCCTTATCCAAGAGGCAGCATTGCAGCAACGTCGTGCAGAATTTCTGCCAAACCCCGACAGCACACACCCTGATCAGGGTCTGGTTCACAGACAATGCAAAAAAAAATAAAAAAAAAAAAAAAAAAAAAAAAGAGCCCCCATTAACCCGACTTGCTTTTCAAAAAAAAAAAAAAAAAAGAAAAAAAAAAAGTTTTATTTTTAGGGCTTGTGAGCGGTGCCGCCAGATTGGCAGCGTTATAAATAGAAGCCTTCTATTTATCCTCCAGTCTAGGTACCGCAGTGCTAAGTCAGTTTTACGACCTCGATAAATCCAGATTAGGTGCTCTCGAGGATGCGTCACCATAGAAATAACATTTCCTCTTGGCATCCGTATGCGCGGCAGAGGAGAGGGGGGGGAATGGATTATGCCAAGGGAAGGGGGTGCTGCCCTCATAAGCCAGCCTGATGCTTTCCCATTTTTTTGGATGTGATACAGGCTGACACTCCTTGGGAGGAGGTCGTGGATCCCAGCTTCAGATCTCCGTGTCCTGCCTAAAAAGGGGATTATGTGTGGTTTTCAGCCGGCTCTTGAAATCACAGAATCACAGAATCTTCTAGGTTGGAAGGGACCTTAAAGATCATCTTGTCCAACCGTCAACCTAACTCTGACAAAAATAGACACCCCCACAACAAACAAGGAGCATCATCACTAAACCAGACCTCCCAGCACTACATCAACCCGTCTTTTGAACACCTCCAGGGATGGGGCCTCAACCACCTCCCTGGGCAGCCCATTCCAATGGCTGAGAACCCTTTCAGTGAAAAAATTTTTCCTAATATCCAGCCTGAACCTCCCCTGGTGTAACTTGAGGCCATTTCCTCTTGTCCTGTCGGCGGTGACTTGAGAAAAGAGACCAACCCCCACCTCTCTACACCCTCCTTTCAGGGAGTTGGAGAGAGCAATAAGGTCTCCCCTCAGCCTCCTCTTCTCCAGGCTGAACACCCCCAGCTCCCTCAGCCTCTCCTCACAAGACTTGTGCTCCAGACCCCTCACCATCTTTGTCGCCCTTCTCTGGACCCGCTCCAGCACCTCAATGTCTTTTTTATGGTAGGGAGCCCAAAACTGGACACAGTACTCAAGGTGAGGCCTCACCAGTGCCCAGGACAGGGGAATTGCCGTGTCCTTCCCCGCACCAGTGGGGACAGAAGAGCAGGGCTAGGAGTGAGAACAGCTTGTAGAAAAATGGGAGGCAGCAGGAGAAAGAGACCTATTTGGTAGCATAACTTACCCCATATTGCTAAGATGTTGGTTTTCTACTAAGCTGACCGTCGATAACTAGTAAAATGCTGAAATAATTCTTCCCCCCCCTAAAAAAAAAATAAAAAATTAAGAGAAAGTAACCCCCTTCCATTTCTTTTTCCCTTTCACTGACTGATGGTGCTTCATTAAATCTGGAGCATTATGTCAATTCCCATCAATGACAAGCATTTTCCAGTGGTCACACACCTCTGGCTCTGAACAGGCCGTGCTGCTCCAGGGGATGCTCAGCAGCTCAGCAGGAGGTAAAACCACTTCCTGCAAGGCTTCCATTTTGGGATTTCTGCCCCCAAAAGCGCCACTAAACTCCTTATGCATTCAGCCGTGCCTCCACCTTCCTGCAATAAAACACACATGCTGCTACACTACTCTAGGACATCCTCTAGGATGTCCTCTGCTGCCCACCACCAGCAACCAGGGAAGGGCAAGGGGGAAAGGATCAGGAGCCTCCAGTTATCCTGAAATAGTTCCCTTTCTGGAAATTGTCCTGTCAGGCTCCTTTGGTCTCTGCAGGATCTCTGTCCCCTGGAAGCCCAGAGAGAAAAAACACTGGGGAAGCCAAGTGTATCAAAGACCATATGAATTAGAGCAGCTGTAGGTTTCTGACCGTTTCATCCTCTGTGAGATTTTCATGAGCTGGAAGCTTGGATGAGCACAAGCTGCTTGGCTCGGATGCAACATTTTCTCTGGATCAGCTGCCTGGCAGGAGGAGGTAGGGTGCTGGTTTTGGGAGACACCGTGCTGTCTGCCTGCTCCAGCTGCTCCTCCTCCTCACTTGCCCTAGAAGGGGGTCTGGAGGTCAAGCCAGTGGCAAAGGGGTGCTTCAAGCTTACTGGAGCCCATGGAAAGTATGAAAAGATGACTGTGGAGAGGAGCAATCATAGAATCGTCTAGGTTGGAAGAGACCCTTGGGATCATCGAGTCCAACCATCTCCCCTACTCTACAAAGTCCTCCCCTACACCATGTCCCTCAGCACTGCATCCAAACGGCCCTTAAACACAGCCAGGGATGGCGCCTCCACCACCTCCCTGGGCAGCCTGTTCCAATGCCCTATCACTCTTTCGGTGAAAAATTCTTTCCTAATGTTCAATCTAAACC